ATTAATAATAAAGTAATATATTTATTAAATAGATTTTCATTTTAATAATAAAGAATATTCTGAATTTAATAATAAAATCATTAAATAACAATATTTACATATATATCAATATTTAATGAAATAAGTCGATTTAATGATGTATATCGTTAAACAATGATATTTAATGATGTATATTATTAAACAATGATATTTAACGATATATATCGTTAAACAATGATATTTAATAATGTATATTGTTAAACAATGATATTTAATGATCTATATCATTAAATAATATTATTTAACAATTTACATTGTTAAACAATATATATTGATAACTCTGATATATATCGATATATATCAAATATCTGTTTCGATATGTATCGACGACTTGAATATATATTGATATATAACTAATGATAAATATTAATACAAATTACCCCAAAAAATTTCCTGATGATAACTTGAAATTTTCAATTTTCATATATAAAGCACAAGAAAATTTTTTTAACTTTCCAATTAAAAAGTCCTTGCATTTAAGTTGCTACAAGTCTTGCATTATTTTTTTAAAAATATAATTAATTAGCTTTAAATTGATATAAAATTTAGATATATATAGCTTGAAAATTTACATTTTTTATATGTTTTGTTATATGGTTTTGGATCAGACGTTACTTTTTGGGATATATATATGTACATAGTGGTAGTCACTCGTTATAAGCATACAAATACATGTACTAATACTAAATTTTAACACTTTATAAATATATATTTCTCACGTTAGATATTACAAATATAAAAATAAAAACTCAGGTCCCTCAGTCTTTAATTTTAGAAGATGTTATAAAAACCAAGAAATTTATTTTGTATGAACTTATCCAAAAAATATGATTTTTTAAAAGATGAATTTGTGTATTGACAAACTTGAATATAACAAATTAACTATTATTTTTAACTGTTAAAGTAAAATAAAAATTTATCCTGTATCTGAAAATAAAGAAAATGTAATTTGTAGGAGTAAACTAGTTCTAATAAAACTAATTTAATAAGAGAGGTATTTAACTTATACAAAAATTATTAATAGAAAAATCATTTAATATAAAATTTAGTATGTAAAAACAAATTATTAATAAAATTTATGTCTATTTCACTTTATGCTATTAAGTGTAATTATAAAAAAGTTCATTTAATGCAATTACATATCATAGAATTTATGTGAGAATAACCAGACATATAATTGTAAAATAAAAAGTTCTATTAGTCATTTATTTTTCAATGTGATTATTTGTTTCTTTTCTTAATGCAAGAAAATCCGTTGTAATATGTAATTTGTTTTTCTTACTGCAAGAAAATTTGTTATGATATGTGATTTATTAATCTAAATAAAAAGTTGATTACATATACTGTATAATATCGATATACACAGTCCATTTTATTAAACTAAAGTGCTGAATAATCTGCATCATATTTGGTTCCAGGAACAGTTATAGTAAACCTGCCTCGATACACCGAATTCTCTAATTGCAGAATTGACTATGTAATACGAAAATTCTTGACGAAAATATGTAATATTTTATATAATAATAACGATGAGAATAACTTTTCTTTAGTATTTAACTCAATATGAAAAAAATTTAAATAAACTAGTTAACATATAGGCTAGGTCTTTAGTCATAGTAAGTATTAATTGTACATGTATAATCAAGCTTAAATGCGAAAATCTTCAATCATAAATTATGTCACCTTGTTATATAATATATAATATAAATTGAATTCCTTCAATTCAGTCAATAACTGCATCTATAAATGTCAACACAAAATAAAAAAACAGACACATGATGTCGTAGAATTATATATCTTTGTCATAGAAATATATTTATTATAATGCTTTTTTTACAAAGTATAACAACAAGCTTTTAATATAGATACACTATATCGAACTAGATAAAATTTTATCAAATATTATTATAATAACTAAATTATAAATCCCACTATAAGGGATTTCAATTTATTTCCCACCACCCTGACCATTAATCGATGGGTTACCAACCCATTTGCCATTCATTACCGTAAACTCTATCATCAGTGATGGGACTTGGAGGATAATCATGCATAGGTAAAGAACATCCAGGCTTACGTGGAGGACAATAGCTATAAAATAGAGAAATTCTGGTTAAAAATTAATTTTATTTTTAAATAATAGATTTACATACTCATGTTCAACAGGACCACCGGGATGACCAATATCAGCAACGAAATAATCGGGACCGCCAACAATACCACCACCAATACCACCAGGACCAGCACTGACAACACCTCCGTCAGTTGGAGTTGGAAATGAACAAGAAAAGAAATTTAACATTATCACTGATATAGCAATGAAAAGTGAAATAAGAGTGATTTTTCTTCCCATTTTTTTTATTGGAAATTAAACGATTTTTGAAAGAAAGTTCTCATTATTTATAATTATTTTAAATGTAAATCTTTTATTTAAAAAGAAGGGAATTTTAATTTTCAATTTAAATACAGGATTTTTATTATAAATGGGTTTAGATTACTACTGCTCTATGAAATTGATATTTTTGAAATACAATAACCTAGAAATGGAATTTGAGTATTCAGAATTTTGTTCAATGAGAATATCGATCTCTTAATTATAATTATTGCGAAATTTAATTCGATCGATTAGCAGGTCTAATAGCGTAACTATTACAAAGTTTCTTATTTTAGAAAATTTATAGACAAGCATATTACAAGTTAAATCTAGCTTTTATTGATACGATAAAGTTTTTAATCATTTAGAACACAAATTACGTATTATCCGGAATATCTTTGTTCACTATGAAGTTTTTAATTATAGAATTCTGCGCTTTACTGTATCAGTAGGAAAAAAAGCATAATTAATGTGTGAACGAATATTTCTTTAATCTTTCAAAAGAATAAAAATACATATGTTTTTATACTTTATAATAGTTTCGATAACGCTTTCTGGATATTTGGATTTTCATAATCACAAGAAAATTCCAAACAAAAAGTTTTTATTTAAAACTTGCTGCAATTTTAATATTCAGAAAAGAGGAATCCGCACTTTATTGACCGCTTTCAAATATGGCTTCCAAATAATTTAACAATAACAATAACGATAACAATGAAATCTAATTATAGATTTGAGACAGAAAAAAATTTATGCTGAATAACAGATGACCATATCGATAAATATAACGATCATGTCATGTTTGCTTAATTCTATGAAATTTCTATATTAAGAGTTTCAATCAAAAACAATTTCCCACGTCCGAGAAAATTCGGATGGAGTTTAGTAAATATACTTGAATACTTAATTTTCAACAATAGCATTAATTTATCGACACAAAGAAACAAATAAAAGATTTTCTTTTAATCACAAATATCGGGGTAGGTAAAAAAAAGTTTAGAGCATTAATGCAAAAATCTAAATTCAATTGTGAACAATAAAATTTCATAACAAATTTTTTCAATAGAAGATATAGAACGATGAATGAAGCGTTCTTTTTTTTTAAGAATATGTACTTGAAAAGATCATATAGCATGAATATTCTGCTATCGCTATTAAATTTGTTAAAGTTATCCGTTATATACATGTACCAATATCGATATTACAGTATTTTAGATAACGATAATGATAATCTTTTTTTTCTTAGATGGCATAGTTGAAAAAAGCGATAGATCAACGAACCACCACATACATACATGTACATGTATAATACATGTACGTATGTGAATGCAGCAGAAATCGATGTTCAGCAGACGGATAAGTTATTTATAGTGCTTTATACCGATACTTGACTTCAAAATAGTTGCTTGGTGCATGTACTATCTGCTATAATTCTAATCAATTTTGACTATCTCAGTCATTAAATTTCGAATCCTAAATCAAAAAATAAGAATAAAACTGTATTATGTAATTTGCTATTTTCTTTTTTGAGTTTTCTTGTAAGACACTCGACATATCTTCATTCTCTTTGATTTCGTGCGGTATATACATATACTACAAACCAATACTTGTAGAGTCTAAATGTTCGATATAATTTTAATGTAAAGCACCACCTGTATTATTTGGAATTGAAATTAATTTGTAGTAAAATTCATTTGCATTAGAGTTCTTGTAATTCAAAATGAGTACTTTTTATTTGTTTGGAATGATATTGACGAAGATAAAAATTCCGGAAAGTTTTGATCGCGTGTTCCATTTATTGTGTGAGTCACTGTATTATATCATTTGATTTGCCTATCGGATCACTGGAGATCGAGATATATACAGTGGCCCGCATAAATAACGCACCACTTGCATCGCTAATCGTTGATCACCTGATTTTAACTCACCAATCCGATGAACGCAAAAATAATAGACAAATAATACTGTGCAAATAAACAGACATATTACATGTATTTATCTTGATTTGATGTATATATCGATATTGATCTCTAAATCCTCACTGATTGCAATTTGCATGACTAACCTTTCTGCAAACTATGTTACATGTAATTATCAATCAATTTGCTAATTCTTCCTTTTTTTGCAATAATAAAGATGGCACCAAAAATTTTTATGGGATTTTTTCTTGCATTTGAATTAGGAGTAAGACTTAAATTGGGAATTCTTTCAATAATAT